AAACTGAACAAAATCATCTTTATTTCTGTAATACATCTTCCATTCTATCAAATTAGACAAAGAAACTGAGAATACAACCATAAATACACCATACGAAAATACACTGCAAAGTTGCTGTTTTAAACCAAAAGCATAGTCACAATTTTTTTTCTCGTTATGCACTGTGTGCTGCAGGATTTTTTTTATATGGTGCTCATTTACCACATAGATCCAGTGACAGATCTGTAGCTTAATTGCTCCTCTCTTAAATTTTATAAACATTGACACTGCCACTTATCATATATGTGCTTAGTTTTTGTACATTCTTTCATGACCCAGGGTGATAGGTCATGTGGTCCTGTACTATATAAGGAAAAAAGAATTCCTCTAAAACTTTCTCCTGTAAATGATACCAACAAATTATTAGGTGGTGAGTAATTTTTTTCCCATCTCCATTGAATGAATGACAAACTTTAAAACAATTCACACCTTTTTAAGTGTTGGAAGGGGTTTCTTGATTTAAATGAGATTAAAGAAATAATCCCAAAGGTTCCTATGGCTGGTTTGTGCTAGTAGAGTACATGTATTTCCTGTTTTCATTGATACCTGCATTTTGAGAGTATTCCTAGTTGCCTCGTAACTTTTTATTTAATAGAATCACTTTCAGCAGTCTTCCATAGAATTTAAGTGTCAGTGAAATCACCAGTAAGGCATTGTGTTGTAGGGTCAACTTCTTTACATTCTTCTGAAAAGTGCAGAAATAAGATAGTAATTTTTGTATTGTTTGTACATTTTCATTCTGTCTATTAGCCCGGTCTTGGTCATTTTCAACTAACAAGTGTAAGGTACGTAGTTGTGCAATGGATAATGTCACTTAGGCAGCCTCTCCTCACCACCTGTATCACTTCTAGCCTACTACCACACATCAGCTCTCATAAAGAATAAAAAGCCACAATACCACTGCTGGAGCAGTACGCAAATAACGTCCAGGAGTATATATGAGGAGAGGGGTAGGGGACAGGGAGCAAGAGTGGTAGAAAGGGAGAAGTGAATGGTGGTGGTAGTAGTAGTAGTAATGTAGCAGTATAAGTGATGGTGGTGGTGGTGCCGCTGCCGCTGCTGCCGCCGCCATTGCTGTTACTAGTATTATTACTATTATTATTTTTATTACTGTTATTACTACTAATATTATTACTATTCTTACTACTGTTATTACTTCTATTACTATGAATACTACAACTGTTACTATTATTAATATTACTACTAGTACTAAGGCAGCAGTGGTAAAGGTAGAAATACTGCTGTACTGCTATTATTATTGTTGCCATTACTACTACTCCCTCTTCTCGTTTTATCACTCCATCAACTGCCCCCCTTTCTTATATATTCTGGCTCCCTTCACTTTGTGTTTAGTGTGACTTGTTAACCCTTTCACTCTCCAAACCCCTGAAATATAGAGGTACAAAGTTGAAGCTCAGTGACCTGCTGACATCAACATTGGCAGTTACCGCATTCTCCACGTTTCTACTTTATTATTTTGTACTATTTTCTGGGTGTTTTCTAATTTTTTACTTTTTCCAGTAACTTTTTTGGTCCTTGAGACCCATATCAGGCACAGCGACCATGAATCTATCTGTTGCATGCAAGACAGTAGTGTCATCAGTACATTTACAAAACATGTTTACACAAACACTCACAGGTACAAATGTTTTACATTACTACTGTTTTAACACTTACATACATATATTCAGGCACTGGTCATACCTAGAGCTGTTAGTCTGTGGAAGTCTTTGAAACTTTACTCCATGCACAGCAATGTTTTACACATCTCAACACACAACATGTGCATCTGCACTTTGCTTGATGCCTTATAGTGTGTATAGTACAGACATAATATCACTTCTGAGCCCATTTCATCTTTTCTGTAGCAGGAAATGTTAGGAAGTGATCACTAAACTTCATACGAGAGGGTATTTGATACAGGTCCGCCACCACAAATCCAGCAATCAGTTATTCAGTTCCTTCAGTTATTCGGCACTAATTTTGGCTAGCATAATTTCAAATTTCCAGGGTCGCCACACCAACCTGCTGGTACTGTTTGGTGGCGCTACTTGCTGCATAAGTCATTCCAATTTCTTTTTCTCCATTTATTGTTTTAACCTGCTTACTTTTAGCCCTAGCCATGGTTCCAATGAATAAAAGAAATGCTTCTCATTATGTAAAGCACCTACACAGTACATTATCCATTAAAGATAAGGTGGCTTTGAAGCCACTTTCGGTTGCCATGAGCTCAGTCTCATGAAGCAGGAGAATATGTTTTATTATTACACTAATATCAACACTACAACTTATTTGCCTATCACAATTGATCTAATATAACCTAAGAAACAATATAAATAACATAAAACATGTTAAATATTCCAGAATGAATAATATTTGGCATAACACCGAGCAGTTCGACAGAGTTACGAAGAAGATATGGTAAACAAATACCATTCTCCTATCCTTGTCTTGGGGGCTTATATTAGAGAAAACGGAGTATAGCACAGGGCTAACTATGATATACACTCATACTCCACCATAAACATGAAACAAAAAAGTTATTTTCTCTCTATAGATTATCACACATAGCAGCATATGTGTAGAGAACCTAGGATAACCCCAAAAAAGTCAACGTAGCTTATTTTTGGTACCTGGCTTGGGTTAGCCATCTATGTTTTTTGGTAAATATTCGATTCCCAGCCAGGGTAGAAACATTAGGCGTGTTTCTTTACACCTGTTGTCTGTTTACCCATCAGTAAATGGGTACCTGGGTGTTAGCCGACTAGTGTGGGTGTTATCCTGGGACACTGACCTAATTTTCTTGAAATACTCAGCATAACAAGTGTCTTTCTATACAGTAGTATGTCACTGATGTCAGCTAGGCCTGTATACCTTGTACATGTACGTGTAGTAAATAAAGATATTATTATTATTATTATTATTATTATTATTATTATTATTATTTCCTCAGTTGTTTGTTGGGTTATCTTATTCAAACTTGGGCAATGTATGATGGAAAGATACTTCTTCACGTACACCAAAAATTAAAGAAATCAGACCATAAATAGCGGAGTTCACTTCTCAGCCATTAGCGGCCGCTTAGCGGTATATTTTTGTATGGTTGTTATGGTTATATTCTCATTTTTTTGGTCTCATTTCATAGAATGAAAGATATATTACAGAAATAAATATGATTTTGATTGCTTTCATGACGAAAAGTACCTTGAAATTGCGCTCACAGTAGCGAAAATGTTCTATTCTTTAGCGAAGCTCAAGAGTAAACAAATGACGTCACCGTCCAATACATATCCGCCTGCCAGTCCAAATTCCAGTACGGAGTCAAGAATGGATTGACATTATTTATACAATTATTACAGTAATGCAGTAGTCTGCATAACAGTAAATCTTCTATTTTTTGTGAATAACAATTCCAAATGGTAAGCAAGAGTAATATAAGAGGGGCCTAGAGCCATGACTAATGAACAGAGAAAATGTTATTTTAGTGCCAGGAATGTCTGCATTGTTTATTCTGGACCCTATTTTGAAATTGGCATCTGTCGAATTTGTGTGAAATCGGCCAAATTGCCAATTTCTGACCACTTGATTGGGTAGTTGAAATAAGTGAATGGGCAGTTTCTTGTACTCAGTTGACAGACTAGAAGTAAATAAGTTTATTCAGGTATACACAAATAGTTACATATATTATCATACATAGCAGTGAATGTATAGAGAACCTAGGATAACCCAGAAAAGTCAGACAAAGTGACTTATTTCCTGTACCTGGCTTGGGCTTGCCTAATATATGATTTTTGGTAAATATTTTTTTTTCTCGGTTGTTTGTTGGGCTGTCTCATTGAAACTTGGGCAGTGTATGATGGAAAGATGCATCTTAACGTGCAACAAAAATAAAAAAGACGGACGATAAATAAGGGAGTTCACTTTTCAGCCATTAGCTGCCTCTTTGCAGTATATTTTCGTATGGTTTTTATGGTTGTATTCTCATTTTTTGGACTCATTTGATAGAATGGAAGATATATTACAGAAATAGACATGATTTTGATTGCTTTCATAATGAAAAGTACCTTGAAATTGAGCTCAAAGTAGCAGAAATGTTCAATTTTTGCCGATGTTCAATGAACTGTGTAAGTCAAGGTGGTTAATTTTATTAAGTGTATTCTAACCTAACCACTCTGTAATTCGGCAAACTCAGTAATCCGGCACACTACAGGTCCCAATGATGCCGGATTTGTGATGGAGGACCTGTAATCATATCTCGGCTGTATTTCCGGTGCCCTGAGTGTCACTTTGTCATTATATGTTGGAAATCAAAGAACTCTTCATTGGTTCCATAATTATCATTGTTGGAATAGTCAGTGGGGAATAAAACTCCATTCATTTTCCCTAGGAGTGACACCTTTGTGTCCACATGGCGTGGTGAACAGTGTGTAATAATGTTCCCACAATGCACTGTGTGGGCCTTATTTTTTGTATACTGCACGCATTAACCACAGACCCATTCTCGCATGTGTAGTCCTATCAGGCCTCTCCCTCTCAGTTTGAAGATGCTAAAATTTAGGCATAGATCTGCATCAGGGACCCTGGTAGACTTAGTTCTGTGTGACAGTCATTAAAAGGGTGTATGGTCCAAGTTGGCCCAAAACATCGCCATAAGTTTGTCTCCTAAGTGCGGATTATTTGTGTATTGTGTACAGCTTTCATAGTCGTATATTTTTCTGAGTATATATGTTGATTGGATGTTAACCTGTGAGCCATATGAGCATAGCATATTATGTAGTTGAGAGGGAAGCCTGGAGACAAGATTGTCCAGTGAAAGATATAGATAATGGACTAGTAATGATTGTTGTATGCCATATATTGCCAAGGATTTATTTTTGTATATTTTAATTATCCTCAAATGATCATTTTTAGTATTAGGCTCAGCTGTGAATGTATTAAATTTTAATTTTGTCATTTTGCAGAAATGTGTGAGATGTACACGTTGCACCAGTTGTGGGAGTCCCAATGTGGCTCAGTGGCAGAAAGTTTCAGACAGAAGAAAATCCTTGGAGGTAACAACAGTGGAGACCTCACACACTGTGGATTTGGTTTTGTGCGCACGATGTGTTACTCTCAGGGAACGAGGCAACTTCTGTCCTTTATGTAATGGCTGCTATGAGGATGATGATTATGATGCAAAGGTTTGTTTGTCTTAGTGTTTATTCAGATTTAATTAATTTTATTTGATTCTTGAATTATATATAGGTTTTTCTTTGTGGTTATGAGTGATCTTGGAAATTTTCCAAAAGAAAAATATAGAAATATGAGAGTGAGTGATTTTTTCCTGGTGGTCATGTTTCTCCTATAATTTGTTACTAACTTTGAATACAACAGTTTTGTAATTTGAAATCTCTCTTGTTTTCACATAAATGTTTTTTTTTTACACTATCTTTTATTTTTAATTAGTAGCATTGTAATCCATACAGAGTTTTGCCAAGGGATGATAATGAACTTAATTGCTACAGTTTTCTATGGCTTAATATGAAGTTTTTATAAAATAGAATTTCATGGTGCTGTTTACAGATGATGGAATGTGGTCGATGTGGAGAGTGGATTCATGCTAACTGTGAAGGGCTCAACAATGAACGCTACCAGATTCTTAGCTTCTTACCTGACACAGTGGAGTATGTTTGTCGGAACTGTGTTATGGATGCATCATCCACTTGGTTGGATGCCGTTGGGAGAGAATTGTTGGCTGGATGTGAGGCAGTCCTTCAAGCTCTACTTAATAGCAGGTGTGCAAAGCATCTTGTGAGGAGAGAAGTTTCTATTAAATTGTCTTCCACAGGAGGTCTGACCCCTGTACCTTCTTTGCCTGCAATTGGGACTCCTTCACTGGAAAGAAATGAGGAGGGTTTATTGGAAAATCTGGTGGATGGTGAGAGTCTGGTTCTTGTTGCTCACCCGATGGAGCCTAATAGTACAGCAGCTTCTCTAGGTTATCTGACTGGGGAACTCCTTCACTCAGGAAAAAGTGATACTCTACGGAGTGAGAAGGGTATCAGCCCTCTGCCATCAAAAGCAGAGGGTATCATGGAGTTCAGTTGTGTTGATCAAGTTAAGAGTTCAGTGGTCAATATTGATGTTGATTTTTGTCAAGTGTCATGTCATTCTACCATGAGTGCATCAGAAAAAGGCAAAAATGTTAACTCATCTTTGTGTTCTGTGAATGTAGATGTTAAAGAGAGCCCTCAGGATAAAGCAGTTGCATTAACAAATGAACCTGCTAAGCAGATGTGTACAAATTACAGTAATATTGACAATGTGGCAGCTAATATTAATGCAGGTAAAAGTGGTTGTATAATTGGTGCAAAGCACAAAACTGATCTCAAAGGAAAATCAAGTAAAGAAAAGTGCGAGGAAGAGGTTCCGGCATTTCCTCGAAGACAAACACGCTCTTCTCTGGCAGGTGCAGCACTTTCCTCCACTGCAGCCTCAAGTAGTGCTTCCACTGACCCCATAAAGCTAAAGGAATGCTCTGTGCGTTTAGAGGATATTTGCAAGTCAAAATCTCCTTCGTCGTCTCCAATCAAAACTCAAGGTGAACAAGATAATATACTAAAATTAGAAGTTGAACCATGGAAAGAATCTGAATCAGTAAAATCTCAGGAAGTAGAAGCCAGTACAAAGTCCACATATTGCAAAGCTCTAGTCTGTTTGGAATCTCTGGAAGCAAAAGATTTGGAGGGGGTAACAAGAGAAGCCTTGCAAGGTATAAAGGCTTTAAAAGACACTGATGTCTCATGCACTCAAGTGGACGGCCCAAATGATGAAACCACGGCAACATCTCGAGTGATAAGAAACCTTTTTTTTGAAGAACGGAATCAAATAGTGTTGGATTCCACCAATTTGCTCGAAAGTAAGAAGGAAAATAATTTAGAGAAGGCCCTTGCTCAAGTAGAGGCTCAGTTGATCAGTCCTAAGGATAAGATAACAAAAGATATTGATGATGATTGTGTTAGTAGTGAAGAAAGTTCTTTTTGTGATACTGACACAGAGATTGAAAGTATCCAGGATGACCCAGAAGAACCAAGGGATTTACTTTCCATAAAGGAAAAACTGAAAGAACGGAAATATGAATCTGTTCTGCAGTTTCACGTTGATATGGCGAGGGTGATAGAAAATGGTAGACATCTGAATCGCAGCCAAACTCGCAATGTTCAAGCAACTTATGCAAAGCATATGAAAGAGTGTTTTCCCTGGTTTGATGTGAAAACACCAAATGTTTTTGAATTGGTAGATAAACAAAGACCTTTCCCAATACCACATTTGGATCATACGTATATATTTCGTACCATGATGGCAGGCAATCGTCACTTCACAATGCGTGATGCTCCCATATTCAGGAAGCGATCTACAAGCCCTCTAAAAGGCACTCTTCTATCTCAACCTGATCGCCGTAAATGTGTTTTATGTGGGAGAGAAAGTGACGATGAGCCTAATGCTGCGGGAAGACTACTTTACCTTGGTCAGGATGAATGGCTTCATGTAAATTGTGGACTCTGGTCATCAGAAGTGTATGAGGAGGTGGATGGAGGTTTGCAAAATGTGTATCTTGCTGTGAGTCGTGGTCGTTTGATAAAATGCTCTGCTTGTCTAGAGCGAGGAGCAACAGTGGGCTGCTGCCACAAAACCTGTCAGGCAACATATCATTTTCTGTGTGCAAGGCGAAGCTGTTGTCAGTTTATGGAAGATAAACGGATCTTCTGTCCTCAGCATGAGAGTACTTTGAATGGGGAAGAGAAGTCTGATGATTTTAAAGTCAGTAGATGTGTTTATGTAGATATGGATTCTGAAAAGAAGAAATGGAAACAAGTTCCTGGTAATCGTGTAAGCATTGCTATAGGTTCTCTTAATATAAAGAACCTTGGCCGTATTGTTCCAGAGTCTGATAGTGCTGAGGCCCTAATTCCTATGGATTTTACTTGTAGTCGTGTGTACTGGAGTACTGTAGACCCTACAAGGAGAGTTTCCTACACATGTCGAACTAGGAGAGTAGTACCAACACTCGATGATGCATCACTTATGGCAGATGCAGCTTTTCATAAAACAATTGATCATTCACTAGGAGAGGAAACTGTTTATAAGGAAATGGCAGCTGTCAAAAAGTGGTTTAAGCAACTCGAGGAGCGAAAAGTGGAAAAGAAGTCTCGGGAAACCAATATCATTCCTCCACACCTTTGTCCTTTGTATCGCAGCATCCGAGAAAGGGAAGAAGAAAAGAGAGCTATGGATAAGGTAGTTCACTGCCCAACTCCACCAGCCATTGTAGAACTGGATGTTCAACAGTGCATTGATGATATAATTGATAAAGTTAGTCGATCTGTAGAGGAAGAAAGCTTACTTTTGGACACTGATTTACCAGCCATTGTTAGTGCTGATGACAATGAATTGATATCCATGGTGCTGAATGACCTTGATGCATGTGACCCTATCACTCTACAGTCTACCCCTTCAACCTCAGGCAGACCAAGTCCACTAGATATTGACTTCCTGAGCACCTGTGATCATATGATGGACTCAGGGAAAGTGAATCACTCAGGAAACATGATTCAGGAAGCTCAGGAAACAGAATGTGACCCACAAGTGATATTAGACGCTACCCTCTCACCTGGTTGCAACCCTGCCCATGACACATACCAAGTGGAATCCCCGAATGCTGATATTAAAGAACCCATAATTGAGACTGTATCACCTCCAACTACTCAAGATCTTGGTTCTGTGCCTTCAAGTTCAATGTCATTGTCTAATGCCAGTAATAGTAATACTCAGAGTTCAGGTGTAAATGACAGCAACAGTAATGTCATAAATTCAGGTAATAGCTGCAACACTTGTAACAGTGAGAGCAAGAGTGATAGCACAAGCGGCAGCAGTAGTAGTAGCAGTAGCAGTGAGAGTTCCAGTAGCAGTAATATGGCTAGAGAAAGTAGTAGTCCAGAAAGATGCTCTGAAGGTACAGCAAGTAACACCAGTAGTCCAGACACTAGTTCCAGAACAAGCTCTGACATTAATGTTAGTAATGATACCAATAATGGCAGTACAGATAGTAACAGTGGCAGTGAAACATCTCAGGGTGCTGGATGTGGTGCTAAAACCCCATGCACCTCTTCAGGAAAAACTTCCTCTTTGAAACAAATTTGCCGTGTTTTGCCCATGCTCTCTACAAACAGCAGACGTTCCTCGTCAGCTAGTGAACACAGTGATTCAGTTCCACAGACAGGATTAAATCAGTCTCCTCTAACATCCCAACAAACTCCAAGAAATTCAGATGAGAATGAAGGAAGCAATGCCACTGGACGAGGAAATGTTCGTAAGAAAATTTGCATGAAGAGAAACTATAAAACTGTTATAAAAAAATATCCTCTCAGGAGTGGCATGAGAAAAAGCAAGCCATATGAAACTGTACAAATTGAGATAAATGAGACAATAGAGATACCTGGAGGTGAGGGATCTGGTGTGGTTCATAAAAGCTTAAAAAGAAAATGGAGTGGAATTCTAGATTCAGAAGAGGAAGAACATTGTCAGAAGGACTCCAATGGTGATCAAGCTGGGAAAGATAATACAAGTCGGGGAAGTGATGGAGAGAATTCAAAAGAAAATTCTGTGTCCAAGAAAGTTTTAAAATTTACAGATGACAACAATGACATTACAGTTAGTATTGTCAACAACAACAATAATCTCTGTGAATTTTCCAAATCACGGGGCCACAGGTACCGTCACAAGACAGTCTTGCAGTTAGATGGTGCAGCTGATGGCTCTTCGTCTAGTGCTGAAATGAGTGAGAGCCAAGATGAGGGAGTAGAAGAAAGGTACAAGTCTCAGAATCAAGAGGACCCTCAGACACCACCCCTTCACTCAGCACTGGCCATGCGTATCAAGGAACAGAGTCTGGCCAGAAGTTCACCAGGAGAGGAAGGTCCATACAAGTGTGCCAAATGCAAGAGACTCTATAGGTAAGTTTCTATTTACTGTACAGTTTTGTATTAACTGAGTCCTAGAGTTTGATAGGTTAAGAATACATTGCCAGTAATCAACTGATTTAAGGTGGAGATGGTTAAATGTTCATATTTTTTCTGTGCTTTCTCAATATCTGTGAGATTAATATTTATTGAATTTGCAAACATTCTCTAATGTCCATGGCTGAGTTCCACTTGCAAGTGCATCCACGTGCGAGTTTTTCCAAATACGAGTAGTTGATTGGTTGATTTTTTGCTTCTACACGCAGGCGAAATTTCCATAAGTGAGCGGGCCTCAAAGGAGGTTCCTTGATGTTGGTGAGGGGCTTGTGCTCTTCATATAGGGAATTAGGTCTCATTTGTTTGTTGGGCTATCTTATTGAGACTTGGGCAATGTATGATTAAAAGATGCTTCTTAACGTACACCAAAAATGAAAGAAATCAGACCGTAAATAATGGAGTTCACTTCTCGGCAATTAGCCGCCCCTTAGTGGTATTTTCATATAGTTTTTATGGTTGTATTCCCATTTTTTTGGTCTCATTTGATAGAATGGAAGATATATTACAGAAATAGATATGATTTTGAATGGTTTCATGACAAGAAGTACCTTGACAGTGAGCTCAAAGTAGCAGAAATGTTCTATTTTTGCTGATGTTCAAGAGTAAACAAGTGATGCCACCTCCATTCCATTATGAAGTCATGAATGGATTGACATTATTTATACAATTATTACAGTAATGCAGTAGTCTGCATAACAGTAAATCTTCTATTTTTTGTGTGAATAAAAATTCCAAATTATTTATATTTTAATAATAATAATAATAATATGTGTAGTAGGTTGGTAGACAGCAATCGCCCAGGGAGGTACTACCGTCCTGCCAAGTGAGTGTAAAACGAAAGCCTGTAATTGTTCTACATGATGGTAGGATTGCTAGTGTCTTTTGTCTGTCTCATAAATATGCAAGATTACAGGTACGTCTTGCTACTTCTACTTACACTTAGGTCTTACTAAACATACATGTACATGTTTATTTATACACACTCATCTGAGTTTTCCTTTTATATCCATGGGGAAGTGGAATAAGAATCTTTCCTCCGTAAGCCATGTGTGTTGTAAAAGTCAACTAAAATGCCGGGAACATTGGGCTAGTAACCCCTTTTCCTGTAATAATTACTAAAAAGAATAAGAAGAAAATTTTCAAAGTGGGAAGTCTGAATGTGGGTGGATGTTGTGCAAATGATAAGAAAGTGATAATTGTGGATGTTTTGAATGAGAAGAAGCTGGATGTCCTGGCTTTAAGTGAAACAAAGCTGAAGGGGGTGGGTGAGTTTCAGTGGAGAGGAATAAATGGGATTAGGTCAGGGGTTGCTAATTGAGTTAGAGCTAAAGGGGTAGTAGCAATAATGTTGAAGGATAAGGTATGGCAAGAGAAGAGGGACTATAAATGTATTAATTCAAGGATTCATTCTTTCTTTCTTTCAACACACCAGCCGCATTGCACCGAGGCGGAGTGGTCCAAAAGGAAAAACGAAGGTTTCTCCTTGTACATTTGGTAATATATACAGGAGAAGGGATTACTAGCCCCTTGCTCCCGGCATTTCAGCCGCCTCTTACAACACACATGGCTTACGGAGGAAGAATTCTGTTCCACTTCCCCATGGAGATCAGAGGAAATAAACAAGAACAAGAACTAGAAAGAAAATAGCAGAAAACCCAGAGGGGCGTGTATGTATGTATGTATGTATGTATATATATATATATATATATATATATATATATATATATATATATATATATATATATATATATATATATATATATATATAAATTCAAGGATTATGTGGAGTAAAATAAAGATTGGATGTGAAAAGTGGGTTATAGTAAGCGTGTATGCACCTGGAGAAGAGAGAAGTGTAGAGGAGAGAGAGAGATTCTGGGAAATGTTGAGTGAATGCGTGGGGAGTTTTGAATCTAAGTGTGAGAGTAATGGTGGTTGGGGATTTCAATGCTAAAGTGGGTAAAAATGTTATGGAGGGAGTAGTAGGTAATTTTGGGGTGCCAGGGGTAAATGTAAATAGGGAGCCTTTAATTGAGCTATGTGTAGAAAGAAATTTGGTAATAAGTAATACATATTTTATGAAAAAGAGGATAAATAAATATACAAGATATGATGTAGCACGTAATGAAAGTAGTTTGTTAGATTATGTATTGGTGGATAAAAGGTTGATGGGTAGGCTCCAGGATGTACATGTTTATAGAGGGGCAACTGATATATCGGATCATTATTTAGTTGTAGCTACAGTTAGAGTAAGAGGTAGATGGGAAAAGAGGAAGGTGGCAACAACAAGTAAGAGGGAGGTGAAAGTGTATAAACTAAGGGAGGAGGAAGTTCGGGCGAGATATAAGCGACTATTGGCAGAAAGGTGGGCTAGTGCAAAGATGAGTAGTGGGGGGGTTGAAGAGGGTTGGAATAGTTTTAAAAATGCAGTATTAGAATGTGGGGCAGAAGTTTGTGGTTATAGGAGGGTGGGGGCAGAGGGAAAGAGGAGTGATTGGTGGAATGATGAAGTAAAGGGTGTGATAAAAGAGAAAAAGGTAGCTTACGAGAGGTTTTTACAAAGCAGAAGTGTTATAAGAAGAGCAGAGTATATGGAGAGTAAAAGAAAGGTGAAGAGAGTGGTGAGAGAGTGCAAAAGGAGAGCAGATGAAAGAGTGGGAAAGGCACTTTCAAGAAATTTTAATGAAAATAAGAAAAAATTTTGGAGTGAGTTAAACAAGTTAAGAAAGCCTAGGGAAAGTATGGATTTGTCAGTTAAAAGCAGAGTAGGGGAGTTAGTAGATGGGGAGAGGGAGGTATTAGGTAGATGGCGAGAATATTTTGAGGAACTTTTAAATGTTAAGGAAGAAAGGGAGGCGGTAATTTCATGCACTGGCCAGGGAGGTATACCATCTTTTAGGAGTGAAGAAGAGCAGAATGTAAGTGTGGTGGAGGTACGTGAGGCATTACGTAGAATGAAAGGGGGTAAAGCAGCTGGAACTGATGGGATCATGACAGAAATGTTAAAAGCAGGGGGGATATAGTGTTGGAGTGGTTGGTACTTTTGTTTAATAAATGTATGAAAGAGGGGAAGGTACCTAGGGATTGGCAGAGAGCATGTATAGTCCCTTTATATAAAGGGAAAGGGGACAAAAGAGATTGTAAAAAATTATAGAGGAATAAGTTTACTGAGTATACCAGGAAAAGTATACGGTAGGGTTATAATTGAAAGAATTAGAGGTAAGACAGAATGTAGAATTGCAGACGAGCAAGGAGGCTTCAGAGTGGGTAGGGGATGTGTAGATCAAGTGTTTACATTGAAACATATATGTGAACAGTATTTAGATAAAGGTAGGGAAGTTTTTATTGCATTTATGGATTTAGAAAAGGCATATGATAGAGTGGATAGAGGAGCAATGTGGCAGATGTTGCAAGTATATGGAATAGGTGGTAAGTTACTAAATGCTGTAAAGAGCTTTTATGAGGATAGTGAGGCTCAGGTTAGGGTGTGTAGAAGAGAGGGAGAATACTTCCCGGTAAAAGTAGGTCTTAGACAGGGATGTGTAATGTCACCATGGTTGTTTAATATATTTATAGATGGGGTTGTAAAAGAAGTAAATGCTAGGGTGTTCGGGAGAGGGGTGGGATTAAATTATGGGGAATCAAATTCAAAATGGGAATTGACACAGTTACTTTTTGCTGATGATACTGTGCTTATGGGAGATTCTAAAGAAAAATTACAAAGGTTAGTGGATGAGTTTGAGAATGTGTGTAAAGGTAAAAGTTGAAAGTGAACATAGAAAAGAGTAAGGTGATGAGGGTATCAAATGATTTAGATAAAGAAAAATTGGATATCAAATTGGGGAGGAGGAGTATGGAAGAAGTGAATGTTTTCAGATACTTGGGAGTTGACGTGTCGGCGGATGGATTTATGAAGGATGAGGTTAATCATAGAATTGATGAGGGAAAAAAGGTGAGTGGTGCGTTGAGGTATATGTGGAGTCAAAAAACGTTATCTATGGAGGCAAAGAAGGGAATGTATGAAAGTATAGTAGTACCAACACACTTATATGGATGTGAAGCTTGGGTGGTAAATGCAGCAGCGAGGAGACGGTTGGAGGCAGTGGAGATGTCCTGTCTAAGGGCAATGTGTGGTGTAAATATTATGCAGAAAATTCGGAGTGTGGAAATTAGGAGAAGGTGTGGAGTTAATAAGAGCATTAGTCAGAGGGCAGAAGAGGGGTTGTTGAGGTGGTTTGGTCATTTAGAGAGAATGGATCAAAGTAGAATGACATGGAAAGCACATAAATCTATAGGGGAAGGAAGGAGGGGTAGGGGTCATCCTCGAAAGGGTTGGAAAGAGGGGGTAAAGGAGGTTTTGTGGGCTAGGGGCTTGGACTTAAAGCAAGCATGCATGAGCGTGTTAGGAGTGAATGGAGGAGAATGATACTTGGGACCTGACGATCTGTTGGAGTGTGAGCAGGGTAATATTTAGTGAAGGGATTCAGGGAAACCGGTTATGTTCATATAGTCGGACTTGAGTCCTGGAAATGGGAAGTACAATGCCTGCACTTTAAAGGAGGGGTTTGGGATATTGGCAGTTTGGAGGGATAAGTTGTGTATCTTTATACGTATATGCTTCTAAGCTGTTGTATTCTGAGCACCTCTGCAAAAGCAGTGATAATGTGTGAGTGTGGTGAAAGTGTTGAATGATGATGAAAGTATTTTCTTTTTGGGGATTTTCTTTCTTTTTTGGGTCACCCTGCCTCGGTGGGAGACGGCTGACTTGTTGAAAAAAAAAAAAAATATAGGATGGCGGAATCAGGCCCATTGCAGTGGGTAACACCCTTCGGCGCCTAGTCGCCAAGGCTGCAGTAAGAAGGGTGAGTCAAGAGGCTGCTGCAATGCTGAAACCAACTCAGCTCGGTTTCGGCGTTCAACAGGGCTGTGAAGCAGCT